GTGTGTGTGTGTGTGTGTGTGTGTTACAGGTGTACAGGAGTGTGTTGATCTCAGGGAGGAGGAAGCTTCACTCGACCAACAACACAAACAAGCAGAGATCGTCAACAGGGGGCAGTGATGAGCCAGGTACCATTAACTTTACTGCACCAACACATGAGTCTCTTTCAGCTCCTTGTTTTGTTCCTCTGGTATTTCCTGTTTGGGTACATGTTGTCAAAATAAAAGCTCTGTCCACCAGCCAGATGTTTCCTTCAGGAGGTTGTGGAGTCGAACCTGAAACTACAATCAGAAGAAATCTCAGTGTTGGGGGGGCTCCTCCTGAAGTCCACTGTCATCTCAGTTCTGAGATCGTTCAGAGACACAACACTGCTTCTTTTCCACCTTCATTATAAATAGATGGTGTCTTTTGTAACGCCCCCTGCAGGTGGAGACAGCGGTCCAGTTCCTATTCGCTCCGGCATCACCTTGTCGCCCCCCCAGCACAGCAGTGCACCTTCCCCTCCCACCAACGCCTCATACAGAAAGTCCGCCACTTGGCCCCCAGGGGGGGGCAGTGAGGAGGAGCGAGGAGACCTGATCCACTTCTACAACAACGTTTACATCAAACAGATGAGACAGTTCACTTTGAGATACTCACCCACCCCCCCGTCCGCAGGGGTGAGCCGGCGTCACACTCACACCCTTATCTGCAGCTACACATCCCCACTCACTGTGTGTGTCTGTGTGTGTTCAGGTGGAGCCCCCCCCCTCTCTTTGTCCTGACCCCTCCCTGAGGATCGGCTCTCCTCGTCGGATGCTTCTGTCCAGTAAACACTCCATTTACATTTCGCCACACAAGACAGGCCCCGCCCCCACGCTGACACCCCCCCGGGACAAGATCTGTTACTACATCTGCAGCAGCCCCCCTAACGTGAGCCCCCCCCCGTGATCATCTTTATATACAGTCAGTCGTCACATGGAGAGTTGCTGTGTTTTTATTAACATGTATGATAACTCACCTCTGACCTCTGACCTCAGCGTCTCCAGGAGATCAACAGCATGATCCAGAGCGGAGAGACACCGTCCAGGAAGCGCAGTCTGACTCTGGAGGATGAGACGTCTCCTAAGAGGGTGTGTCCTGATAATCACTCTGCTCTGCTGCGCCGCCTACAGGACGTCGCCAACGACCGCAGCTCCTCCCACTGAGTTCACACTGTAAATAACAGATCTCTGGTCACGTGACACGCTTGTTCAGTCATGCAACTTTATTATTCATTTTATTACTAACGCCAGGTAGACGCACATGTTAACACTGAACTGTACGTGTGTGATTTTATTGATTATTTACATGAAGTGATGTCACCACTGCGTGTTTTTTATTTTAAAACAATTTGTATGTTTTCTAACATGTGATTTTATGATTCTACAAACAGCGTGATGGTCAATCACGTGTAAACATGTGTCAGGTCACTTGTGTAAATATGTAAAAAGAAAAGAAAGTTATTTTAATGCCTTTGATTTTTATCTGTAAAACAATAAACCTGTAAACTGAGCTGCTTTGTTTTCTGTGTGGCCACCAGGTGGAGTTGTTGAGTAAGATACAGAACATACAAACTACACACAGACACACACAACTACACTCAACTGTTTAGTTTCACTTCCTCTTCATCACTTCCTGGTGTTGGTACTCTGAGGAACTTCTTCTTCTGTCAGCTTGTCTCTAACTACGACACAAATCTTTTCTCTGAGTCTCTAAGTCCGTCTAAGTCCCTGAGTCTCCGTCTCTCTTTGTCTCTGTCTCTATGTGTTGTTGTCCGTCTCTCTGTGTCTCTTGACCTGGAGGATCAACAGGTAGGAGACTCTGTAAAACGAGTCATAGTCACACGGATGTTTTTCCTCATGTTCTCTGTGTTTCACAATAGGTTTTCTGAGGGTAATGGAAGAACCAGGAGCTGGAGCAGAACCAGGAGCTGGAGCAGAACCAGGAGCTG